TCAGTCCTCCGAGAAAGAGAGGGGAGGTACTTGCGTTTGTTACGGGTCTCGGCCAGGAATGGATCGAGAGCCGGTCCAAAAAGTTTCACCCCAGAAATGGGGGCTGAGGCTAGCTTAGCCTTGTTTTTGACGTCCGCTTGCCAGTGGCGGAGCCAGAGCAGGCGGCGGGCGGTAACCTGGGACGAAATGGCCCTGGTAGAAAATTTTGCAGCCTGAAAGGTGGCGTCCGCCGAAAACTCGGCCGCGGCCGTGAGCTTAGCGATGTCCTGCTGCGCTCTGAGGTTGGTTGCGGGGACATGCTGTTTGAGCTGTTGAAGCCACTTGATAGAAGATCTAATGAAAAAGGACGCGGCAGTGGAAGCTCTGACTGCCCAAGCGTCAGAAAGGTGAGCGCAGCGCAGGGCCAGCTCAGCTCATTTGTCCTCGGGCTTGAGTGCCTCGAGGGCCTCGCTAGGAGTTGAACGGGAAGCTAGGCCTACAATGGGCTCGTCCACAGGAGGGGGATCGAGCAAGAGGGAGAACTGCGGGTCAAGGTTGAAAAACCGCTTGTCCTGGGTGTTGGGAGGGGGAGGGGGCCCCGAGGAGGCTAGCTGCCTGGAGACCAGGTCAGAAAAGATAGGTGGAACAGGGATCACATCAGTTTCCACCACGGGCTGGGAAAAGATGGAGTCGAGAGGTTCCCCCGATGCCGCTGGCTTGGGTAGAGTGGGAGGGGTCAGGCCAGAGGTATTCTTGGCCTTGAATAGGAGAGACCTAAACAGGTGAGGTTTAAACAGCCCCACAAATGCGGGCTGGTCCGGAGTGAGGCCCTCGTCCTCCGACATGTCCCCCTCCAGGGGGTCTGCTCCCGAGAAGAGCTCACTGCCCATGATGGACCCCAAATCGAGGTCTTCCTCATCCCCAAAGAGGGTAGGTCCCCCGGGCTCCTGGGTCTCCATCTCCTCCATCCCCAAAGGCAAGGGCAAATCCCCATGGGATGCTACCTGACCGTGCGAGACCGCTGATCCGGAGAGCGATCGAACTGATGGTGCTTGAGACTCAGGGGCCGCAGGCCGAGGGGCCAGTCCGGCCAGCTGCTGAAGCTCTTGCACTATCCCTTGCCGGATGGCCAGCTCGATCCATTGTTTCAGGTTTTCAGGGATCTCCACCGTGGGGGGTGGATGAGACTCCTCCGGGCGCAGGCCTGCAGCAGTGGGAGTAAAGGTGGCCTCAGGGACCTGTCTAGGCTGTGAGGAAGAGGAAGGAGCAGGGGAGGAGGGAAGAGGAGGGTGGGTGGAGGTTGAGGGAGTGGGAGTGGAAGGAGCCAGGGGCACAGAGCTTGACTCTCTAGACCGCCTGTCAATCTCCTTCTCAAGGGCCCTGTGCCGCCTAAGGGCATCCCTCTGGGAGGCTTTGGATACCTCCTGTGCCTGTTTGCGCAGGTGATGAGATTTTGACTTGGCCTTCAAAGAAGTGCCACGAGATGTATTGTCATCTGCCATCTGGAGAGAGAAAAAAGGAAATTTTGAATTAATGCAAGACGGTTGGCACGTCTGGATGCGGCCTACGTAGAGGCTGGGGATCCCAGCGCTCGTTTCGCACTCCACTTTTGATCAAAAAAATTTTTTAGAAAAATTGTTGAGGAGCAGGGCCTAGCCCAGAAGCCAATCAGCCGGAAAATGAACGCCAAGCAGCTGCCCCTGCCGGGCGGACCGGGGGAGGGGGATGGCAGAGCTGCTACCTCGCCTTGCTGGGGGGAGGCTGCGGAGCCAACGGACCCTTAGTTCTTGAGGAAGTACCTAGACAGAGTTTTCAAAGGTACAGACAGAGATTTGGGCAGTCCGAGGATCTGCCCAGTAAATCAGAAATAACGCAGCCTGCAGCTAGGCCTCTAGCAATGGCGGACGGCCATGCTGCCACAAACAAGATGGCGGCGACTCCTGGACGCACCCAAGATGGTGGGCGTCACGCAGCGGCCAAAATGGAGGCTGCGAAATATTGGAGGCAAACCCCAGCGGCGGTAGTCTCCCAGAAAGAAAATAGAAGGCCAGCAGGCCGCAAAAACCATGGGGAGAGACAGGGAAGCGAGTTTCCCTGAGCTAAAGGCGTTCGCGAGGGGGAAACGGCGAATAAAGGACCAGGCAGGAAACAGAGAAACGAAGCGGCTTCGCACGGAGCAAACTTAGCGGCCGACGAGGGAGGGGGGTGGGGGGGGTGACGCTCGAAGCGCTAGATACCACCCCTGGAGAAAACGGAAATAAATACTCCCCCCTGTAAGAGAAAACTCCCAAGGAGTTCAAACCTCAAATCCCTTGCGCTGCTGAGAAAGGGTCCACTGTAGGTGAAAAGAAAACTCTGAGGAATGCAGAAAATTGCTGAATGACCAGAGGTGAGAGAAAAACAGCCTGGCTACCACGAGGCTGAGCTAAAAACTGGGGAGCGCCCAGAGGACCACGTGATGGTGAGAGGCGTTCCTCAATTTCAAGCTCAGCCTGTGAGAGCCGAGACTGGAGCTCCTCCCAACCTGGACACTCATAGCAGCTCTATGGAAAAGCAGAAGAAACAGATCATATACTTAAGTCATGCAAGAAATTCAACAAACTGAATATAAACAATGACTTAATACAGTCATCAAAATGATTCACCAGAACATCTGTAAAATTACCATCTGTCAGTAATAAAAATTGGTGGGAACATATAATTGAAAAAGTAAAAAATGAGCAGATTAAAATATTATTAGATTTCCAAATGCAGACTGATAAATTATAATAATAATACTTTAGAATTCAAACAAAACCCATATTTTAATCATTGTCAACAAGAAAGAAGAAAAATCTAGATAGTGGACTTTGCAGTACTGGAGATAGCAGAATAGAAGATAAGAGAACAAAGTGCAAGTATTAACAGAGTAACTGGCAAAAAGAAAGGAAACATAGCACCAAGAGGTGCCTGGCATGTAATCATAAAACATCTGGGGCACCATTGGAACACTACTGGCATTGATAAAATCATGGTCAACTGCAAAAAGCAGCTTTACTTGGAACAGCATATCTTATGTGATGATACCTTTAATGCCATCAAACAACACCTGCTTATCACAGAACCTTGGGAAGGGTTTAATAGGTGGATAAAAATGCCAAGTCTAGTCTTAACATCTGGTTGACTGTGCAACCAACCACAATAATAATTTAAATAAGAACACAGTGTCCCTAGATTTTATTACTATTCTTCTAGGGGTGCAACCAATTCAGTGGCAGAGAATTTGTTATCCAAATAGTTCATTTTATTGCATGCAAGGTCTATCTGCTCAAGAGACTACATAATTCTTTCTAGATCACATTTTCTGATACAGCTGCTCACTCAATTATGAGATATTAGATTGTGGCTTTTAATTTATACCCAAATTTTGAAGATGGAACACCTTATTTGCTATGTCTCTCATTAACTAGATAATTGGACTGATTTATTGCATTTTGCAGAACTGTGTATAACATCTCACCACATTCCTCCAATTGTGTGTTGGCCTTTCAAGCACCCTACAGCTATCACCTATGGATTTTGCCCTCCATTCCTGCTCCATTGTTCTTTGAGCCTCTGATTTTCACCAAGAGACATAAACTACACAACTTTCATTAAATAAGTAGTTAGCTTTAGCCAAGGCTGTGTACAAATGAGCAGTAGATGCCCATAGGCAAGAGGACACCAAGATTCTAAAAGAATGTTTGTTGTTTTCCACTGCATTTCTAGCTTCCTCTCACCTATCCAAAAAGCTAGAGTCAAAGCTTATTAGCCCATGACAACCCAGTAAGACAGACCAGACCAAGAAACAGATGCCAGCGTGCCTAAAACTATTTTATTAAGTGCCTATAACAGAAGTTTGTAAATCTGAATATGTTTCTCCTCTTTTTTTTATATTCATGTGAATTTGGAGATGTATCTCTGAGACAATTTCATACCAATCCGCAGTTGTCTGTGTTTATGCAATGTTTGTGTTTGTTGTCTTGATAACAGGTCAAGGTCATCTTCTTTGTTTTCTATACCTCTTCCCTGATACACATCAGATTAGCCCAGTGAACTTCTTTGTGCAGTTGCCTGCTTTAGCAAAGATTCATCTGGTATTTCACTGGTCCAAGAGGACCTGCCTTCTGCCTTGTGTCCTGGTAAATGAAGAAAGGAATACCTAGCAAAACATACTGTGGACTCCAGTTATAGGAAGGGATATGTAGAATAACTGAATTGAATACCCTGAATTGAAGGGGTTGTAAGAGGGAGCAAAAGATTAACTGCCAGTTCTATCTGAAATTTTCATCCAAAACCTGTCTCTGTGAAGTACATTCAGAATTGCCAAATATTGACTCCAGAATGAAGAAGATTCTTTGTTCCCTGCCAAGTCAGATTCTTCAGTTGCAGTTGCTGTGCTCTTTCCAATTCCATCTCCATTTTCATCAGATTTATTTACTGACCTTGACAAGCTGCTAAACCCATTTTCACACAAAAATGATTATTTGCCCACTGCCCTTGATGAGTTCTCTGGCCCATTACCATGTGCAGGAGGGGACATATGATTCTGGTAGAGGAAGTAATATGAAGTATTGAGCTTGGGAAGGGGCAAGAGGATAATAAACTATTTAGAGATCAGAAAAGACAACTTTATCTTGGGAAAGAAGAAAACATAAGAGAGAAATTCAAAATAACCCTGCCTTGATTTTGTTTGATGTAAGATAGAAACTTTCACAAGCCTTCAACATTCTGTTTTTTTCTACTATATGTTAACAGAAAGCTCATCTGCAGTTCTGCTGCTTCGGTTTCTTGACTTCGCCTACCTTAAACATCTGACACAATTCAAGTATTTTAAATCACAATTAAATGCTATAATTCGTTTGTAGCTGTTACCTATGTATTAGGAATACTTTAGCTCATAATTTCAATAAATGAACACAAATTCTCAAAATGCATTTTTTCTTCTAAAAACTGCCAACATTTAAAAAGCCCAACAAGTCACACTTGGATTTATTTCTCACCGTTCTTCTGGAGTATCTACATGAAATGTTCTTTCTATCACAGTGGTCCACTGAAGACATCGAATAATAAATGTGTTCGGTTTTGGTCGCTCTGTTTTCATTAGTTGGCATTCTAGAAAAATAATATTTTTATAACATGCTGAAGCAAAATATTCTATTATAAAATACATATAGATACATGCACATTCAGCCTCTCACACATGCATATACACTTACTCCATTGCTTAGGAGAAAAATAATTAAGTATGTGTGAAGATGAGCTGGAATAAAAAAATTATATTCAGTTGAATCCAAATGCTGACAGATTTCCAAGAACAGACGAAAGGTCATTTACGATCCCTTTCCTTTGCAGCTCCTGGCAGTAACCCCATCAAATCTTTTAGCATCAGTTCAGGAGATGACATTCTAGATTACAAGGATAAAAAGTGCCTCTGCAAAACACAAACCCACTCTTTGTTCACCAATAAATCAGTAGATCAAAACATCTTCCTGTCAAAGATTCCCCCCAAAAAGCAATGTATTATAAATGACTATGATGATAAACTTCCTGTATGTATACTTATATTTATTACTTTTCTTCTTTTTTCACCCAAAGATAAGTAGCAACAGTGTCCTCCAGTTTTAGATTAGTTTAAATCTCAGAAAGTTTAATCAATACAGTAGTCAAAAATCATTGAATATGTAGCCTAACAAGCAGAGCACACCATGTTGCATATTCCTCAGTAATATATTTTAAAACAAGGAAAGTAACTTCAGTATAGGTAGGTTTTGCTTACCAACTGGCTTCGGTAATAAACCATTCAAAGTTATGACAGTGCTGAAAAAGTAGTTTTGCAAACAAGATGTGCATTTATGACATTCACAGCTTCTCTCTCAGTCAAGTTCACCATTACAGTCAATTATATGTTGTCCTCTGCTTTACACTTTTTTCCTTCCCCATAATCTCTTTAACCAATCGCTCCTGTGCTTCACCCATTTTTTTCCTCCTTTCCCCACATCACCTTGCAAAGCAGAGGCACTGGAGAGGTTGGATTACAAGAGAATCAACTTACTCCCCTCCAATGATTGTAAATTCAAACATTATTTCCCTTCTTGCTAATTATCCCAATGGTGGGACGAGCATTCTGAAGGTTGAAAAAGTGTAGAGTGCTGAAATAAAGTGATGAAAAAGTGTAGAAAAAGTGATGAAAAAGTGTAGAAAGCTGAAATAAAAGCATAAACACAGTCCAGTTACATGATTTTCCATTTAGCAACCAAACTGTCAGTCACAATTGTGTTCGCTAACTGAGCACTATCTATATATAATAATTTCATTGCCCTGATTTATTTGTTTGTTTGTTTACCAATTTCTAAAGCTGCCCAACTCAACCAAGCGATTCTGGGAGGTTTACAATTCTAAAATTATAAAACAATTACCATAAAGAGCATTTAAACAATAAAGTATCCAATAAAGGTGGGGCTGGATGCTCTTCACAGCTCACAGAGAATATGCGTATCATGTAAGTACCAATGCCCTTTATCCAGATGAGCTGTTCAGAGCATCCAGACATGGGACATACCAAAGCTTGGCATGTCCTTCGAGAGGGTCTTCGTCTGGTTGGAGTCCCCTCTTGTTACGTGTGGACCCACTGTAATACCTGTCTGCCAAAGGCTGCTTCAGCGGAAGCAAAAATGTCAAATTTATAGTGCCTTATGAATGGCGATGGTGAAGCCCACGTTGCTGCCCTACATATTTCTTCTATCGACGCTTGAGTAGCCCAAACAGCTGATGTTGCAGTACTCCTAGTTGAATGTGCCAGAATGCCTTTAGGTACAGGTAATAATTGAGACTCATAAGTCTTTGCAATTGTGGCCCGTAGCCACCTGCCCACAGTCGATGAGGTCACCTTCCTGTCTTGATTAGTTGGTTGAAAGGAGATGAAGAGTGGCCCGTAGCCACCTGCCAACAGTCAATGATGTAACATTCCTGCCTTGATTAGTTGGTTGAAAGGAGACAAAGAGTGCCTCCTTCTTCCTAAAAGATGCAGTCCTGTCTATATATATTCTGAGTGCACGTCTCACATATAATTGATGCCATTGTCTCTCTAGATTGTGAGATGGTCTAGGACAGAAGTTGGGGAGTATCAACTCCTGAGCTCTATGGAAGGTCGAGTTAATTCTGGGAATGAAGGTTGGATCTAGATGAAGGACAACTCTGTCAGAATGGAAAATGCAGACATCTTGTCTCACAGATAGGGTGGCAAGCTTGGAAATTGCAGATGTTATCGCCACTAAGAATACCACCTTATATGTAAGTAGGTGGAGACTTGTGGTTCTCAGAGACTCAAAAGGTTGTTTTGTGAGTGCTGTGAGAACCTTGTTTAGAACTCAGGTGGGGTATCTATGGAACACTGGTGATCTTAAATTAGTGGGCCCATGGAGGAAACTGCGAATTCTTGGGTGATGAGCGATGGATCTTAGTTCACCACAAGTAATGACCAAGGCTAGAGCTGCCACCTGTCTACGCAAAGTGTTTGGTGAGAGTCCTTTGTTCAACTCTTCCTAAAGAAAGTCCAATATTTGTGCCACCGATGGAGATGTGGGGTCTATTTTCACCTTGTCACACCACTTACAGAAGATATTCCAGGTGGCATTTTATATATGGTTCATTGACAGACGCCTGGCTGCTTGGATCGTAGAGGTGACTTTACTGGAGAGTTTCTCACCTTTCAGACATCTCTGCTCAAGCGCTATACAGCTAGGTGCAGCCATTGTGGGTCCGGATGTTGAACTGGACCCTGTGTGAGCGAGACTCTTTCCGATGGGATTCTCCATTGGTCTGATATTGACAGATCCTGGAGATCTGTGAACCACAGCGACAGCGTAAAGCGTTGACTCTCTCCACTCCTTGTGTCAGAAATTTTGAGATGAACCCCAGGAGCTGTGCATTGATGGGTGAGGCAAAGAGGCCTATGATCGGTTGGCCAAACAGATGTGACATCTCCTGGAACAGTCTTGGGTGCAGGCACGACTTGGAATGGTCGACATTGGCCCTGCTCAACCAGTCTGCCTTGGTGTTTGACTGTCCCAAGATGTGTTCCACTTTGATGGAGATCAAGTTCATCTCTGCCCAGTGGCACAGCTTCTCTGTCTCTCTCATCAGTGATTTTGAATGGGTGCCCCTCTGCTTGTTTATATGGGCCTTTGTGGCCACATTGTCAGTTAGGATTAGGACGTTGCCCCTCAAACAGCAAGAATAATGATAAATGAAGAATTGACAGAAAACGTTAGCATTCAAAAGGGACCAGGATGTCTGTTATCCCCATTATTGTTTGTATTGACTTTGGAAGTTTTGAATAGAAATATTAGGAAAAATGAAGAAATAAAGTGAATGAAAATAAAAAGACGAATATAAATTACAAGCTTTCACAGATGATTTGGTTTTTATATTGGAAGAACCATTGGAAATAGGCCCTAAGTTGATTAGAGAAATAGAGGAGTTTGGCGAAGTAGCACGATTGAAAATAAAGAAAAAACAAAAATCTTGGCAAAAAACATGACAGAAAAACAAAAGAAAATATTAATGAACAAATTAAATAATCAAATCACAAAAAAGTGAACTATTTAGGGATACAAATGACAGCTAGATGTGGAACACTTAAAGAAGATAATTACGAGAGAGTACTACAACAGGTTCTGATAGACTTGGAAAAATGGAAAAACTTACAACTATCTTTAATAGGTAGAATAGCGACAATTAAAATGAACATATTGCCAAAAATATTATATTTATTCCAGACGATTCCAATAAGACTGAAAAAAAATACTTTAAAGACTTAAATAAAATGATGTTGAAATTCATTTGTCAGGGGAAAAAGACAATTAAGACAAAATTACTGCAGGACACAAGGGTGAGAGGGGTTTTTGGATTACCCAATTGGGAACTATACTATCAGGCAACAATATTGATGTAGATGAAGGAATGGATTGTATTGAAAAACGCCAGATTATTAACGCTAGAAGAGCATGATTTACAATTGGGCTGGCATGCATTTTCATGGTATAAAGAAAGTAAGGTACATGGATATTTTAGGAGACATTACATTAGGGATGCTCTATTAACAGTTTGGGGAAAAATAAGAGATTATCACTATATGAAAATACCAGTCTGGCTATCAACATTAGAAGCAATTACATATCCACAGCTTTTAAAAAAGGAACATATTATTAGATATGAAGAAATTTTAAATGAAAAGGGTGAACTCAGAACAAAGCAAGAATTAGAGTTACAAGGGATAAAAACGAATTGGTATTCATATTTGCAAATACATACAAGGTATGAGAAAGACATTAAAATGGCTGGGTTTTATAAGGAATTGACTGAAATGGATAAAATTCTAACAGGCACTGATGAGAAGTTGATTAAAAAACTATATGGTTATTTACTGGGACTGAAATTAGAGGATGAACAAGTAAAAGAAACAATGATTGGGTGGGGCAAAAACTTTGGATATGGAATAGACTTGGATAAAAGGCAGATACTATGGTCTAGAAATTATAAATTAACTATGTCAACAGCCTATAAAGGTAATTTGTATAAAATGTTTTACAGGTGGCATCCAACCCCAATGAGAATTGCTAAGATGTTTGAAGATAAGTCGGCGAAGTGCTGGAAATGTCAGAAGCTACCAGGATCATACTACCACATGTGGTGGACATGCACAGAGACTAAAAAATATTGGACTAAAATACACATGTGGCTGGAGAAGATGATAAAACAACCTATAGATTTAAAACCAGAGACATTTTTATTGGGTATTCTGCCTGAGGGTTATAACAAAGAGTTAACGTATTTGATTATTAATATATTAACAGCAGCTAGGATTGTATTTGCACAAAATTGGAGAAATGGAAAAATTCTGACAGAAGAGGAAATAATTAAGAAAATAATTGAATGTGCAGAAATGAATAGATTAACAATGGCAATTAAAGAACAAGAAGAAAAAGATTATTATAAAATTTGAAATTTATTTTATGAATGGTTGGATAGAAGAGTAAAGAATTGAATTATATAAGCACAGTATAATATATTGTTACTGATAGATGAGCTAGGCAGAGTAAGAAAATGAACTT